GGAGGAAGGTCATCAGGTCCCGCGGCTTTATTTAACTTCAACAGTTTGATCTCATGTTCGACTTCTGAGCGAGAGGGTGGATCCAAAGGAACAGCCCACGGAGCAGGGCAATCACTGGTCGGCGAGAAATCTAACAATTCCGACCGATTAAATTGCCTTTCAAAGTGCTCAGCCCAAAGTTCCAGGCGTTTTGATAAATTGTGGATAGGCTGTGCACTCTCGTCACGTATAGTTTCACTAACACCAGGTCTCCTGCTGCCCGTTTCCCGTAAAAGACGGAATAACTCACGATGGTTACCAAGGGCAGCGGCCATTTCCATCTCGGTTGCACGACGAGACCACCAGGATTCGCGGTCTCTCTTCACGCTAGCACGGAGTTTTGCCCGGAGCACTTTGCGAGTTTCATTGTGTTCGCTCCCAGCCGGAATATCCCGGCGAGCATCTATAAGTTCCAGAGATTGTGAAGAGACCCAATGTTCATGTTGGCGATTAGACATACCACATGAGGATTTGCCTGCTGCTAGTAAGGCCTGTTGCATATGAGACCAGTGAGCTTCAGTTGCATCCAGTGAGCGTTTATCCAACTCGCATGATAGCGTAATTTGATAGGCGTTCAGAACAGCTGGCTTCACCAGACTGCCGGCGTCAATGCGCTCACAACATCGTCGCCGGCGTCCGCCAAAGCGCATCCGCAGGTCACCACATACAAGTGCATGATCGGTGTCAACACCTGTGCTCCAAATCGAACGACAGTTCTGGACGCAGCCTCTCCAGCGGTAACTGATTGCAAGGTTATTTATTTGCGTCCTTAGCTGGTTCGAGGCTGGTCGGCGGCAAGTCACCCTCCGGCGGGTGCTGTGTCGGAAATTAGTGCTCGCGAGAAATAAACGAGCAGCCTCACACAAATGAAGTAACCGCTCACCGTTATCATTACGGGAGCCTATACCATGTTGGCCGCCCAGATGCAGCTCATCTGTGGATAATTTTCCAACTTGAGCGTTCAGATCCCCAGCCAGCACTACAGTGTCCGAGCTTCTTCTGTGGCGAAGGAGTTCGTTCAGTTGACGATAGAAGTCGTCTTTTACCGAGTCATCGCTACAGTTTGTCGGTGCATAAGCAGCGATAACGAATAGACACCTGTTAGTCCCACGCGACTTCGAAGTTTTGAACGAGCCAGCCAATCGGACCGCACACATCCGGCTACTGATTGGAATCCAATCAACCAGAGCAACTTCAGCCCGGGGACTCAGGGCAATACCAACACCGGCTTGGCCGGTGCTCGAAGTTGCATCGTCACTGGATAGGCGCGATGAGAAAGTGCTGCTTGCGTCACCTGAAGGGGATCGCAGAGGGAGTACAGAGCTCGAGTCTTGCAGGCGGGTCTCCGATAAGCAGCAGATATCGATTGAGAGGGTCTCCAATGTTCGGGCAAGTGCTGCCTGTTGACCAATCTGAAGCAATGTGCGAACATTGAGGTATGCCAGTCTGAAGGAGGATCGAGGGCTCCAAATGGAAGCCGATGAACTGGAATGGGCCGCTTGCTTGGACATGCGCCTGTTAACAGTGCAGGAATGACGCTCTGCGTTCACCTGTGAGTTGAAACTAAAAGACAAGCGACTATTGAAGCAAGGTGGGGGAGGGCCGAGAATTGGGGGTTGAAAACAGGGGGGGATACACGTGAAGCTGGAACAGGACGATAAGGGTGAAAAAGCGCAAGAGGGGGAATAAGAAGATGGGAAGGCTTGAGCAGTAGCATCCAAACCCCTATCCACCCTGCTCGATGCAGCAGGTAGGACACCGTTGATTATCCTCTGCGGTGGCCAGAGCATCAGAAATTTGTTTGGGGAAGGATTCATTGTATTGCGTAGGCAGGATACTGTCAGGTTGCCAAGGCCTAGACAGGAGAACGATTAGGGTTCTCAACCAAAGCCTTTGGTTCAAAAACCTGGCCGCAAGGCAGCGGGTTTGGCACTGGACTACAAGGAGTCTGTTTTAAGGAATAAGGAGCCACCGTCATTCCAACCTCCAACCTGGAGGACCAGGAGGCTGAGTTTGTCTGGCCTCTAACCATTGACCAATCTGGTATGAGTGGCTCTGAAGGTGCAAAAGCACCACCCAGTATAGATCAATGGATTACTGAGGCACACAAACCATCGCACCACGGTAAGGTCCAGCCTCATTGCGATGGGCACGGTTTTTCACCAAATCCTGAAATGTTCCCCCCCCCCATGCATGTTACTGAACCTTCACAACCTAGGCAGTTTGATGAGAGTGCCCGGCAGCATCGCTCCTGTATTACCAATCTACTAATTGCGTGCGGCAATTGGACTAGGCGCTCAGGCATGTTCATCGCATGCCTACTCATCGTTTACCTCGCAGTGCACTGTTCTCGCTTGCAGAAGATCCTGGAAGCGAAAGAAGGGTGGTCAACATATGACTTGGCACACTATGTGGTATCTTAATGAGCATTTGGGCCGCCAGCTTTGTGATCGAACTTCCACACGATTTGCATACAATCGGTGGAGGCTGTGTAATACAGGTTTGTCTTTTTCTTTTACTTTGGGTCCAGTGGATGTGCCGAAAGACCGAAGTTTCCTGTTGCTTTAGATCTACCCTAGTGTCGAACTTTTTCTGACATATCGGAACAAATTTGAGTGTGGACAAGGCCCTGTTCGTCCTCATTCTTATGGCTGGCGGCGTTTGCTTCAGCCGCGTTTAGACCACTTGTGGTATTGATGCTCAAAGCCACAGTTGACGCGTTTATAACGCGCTGTCTTTTTCCTCAATTTTGGAGCAGTCTATCTGGGGACTTCGGTTTACTCTGTGTCGACTTGGTGTTCTTCCTTTGTGCAATCGTTGCTAGTAGTCTTTCCTGTTTTTGTGATGGTAGTTGTACCATTTTTCTCGGTGGGACGATCCTACTCTCTGCACAGGAATACAGCGAATTTGGTCAAGTCAAGTCAAAGTAAGTTTATCTACACCTGGCCCATCAGGTCGACAGACATAAAGTAGCTCATCATATTCGATCATCACTGTCTTCGCAGCTTAGCTCAGGTCTGATGGGAGCACCGCGTGAGCAATTAGCGTGTTTGACTTCGTGTATTTGGTGCAGGAAGAGCGAGTGAACCGCTCAGCACCATTATATCACGCACCAGGCTCCGACAGTTGGGCCACGTGTTGCGCATGCCAAGACACCGACTTCCGCGACGTGCATTGTTTGCGCGTTGTGGGCATGGTTGGAAGAGGAGGAGGGGAGGCCAAGTGATGACGGTCCAGAGAGATGAAAGCCCTCACTTCGAAGTTGGCGTCGTTTGGTGCATCCCGATTGCCTGGCTGGGGTCCTAAGGACAGTGAACACGTTTGGTTGGACACATTTGCTGATATGGCTTGGAGCCGACCCCAATTGGCGTTTGTGTCGTGAGTTCCTTTGTCCATCCCCCTCCTGCTTAACATCCCCCTGCAATCACGATCTCACTCGTTAGGCACAATATAACTCTCTTTTTACGGCACCATAGCCAGCTGTTAGCTCTCCGGAACGATGTCCATCCGTTACTGGGATTCAGCAGGCGTGCCACTGTTTTTTCCTTTTCTTCTCTTTTGTATTGCGGCACAATAACTTAGATGTTTTCCACCTGCAGTTAACGTGTATAATGATGATGATGAAGTTTATGTACTCGGGTAGGTGCATTTTCAGCATGTTACGCTATCACCGCGGATGGTGATGTTTATGAAATTACTGCTACACAAAAAATGAAACGTGTAAAATTGTCATCATTTACCGCTCGAGCAAATACTTTCGCGTCATACTGATAGTTTTGTTTAGGTCAACAAGCAATCGGCACGGGTACGGCAGCACAGAATTGCGGTAAGATGCAGTACGTGAAAACAGAATTTTAAATTTGGTGCAGTTAGAGGTAATATATAACCTTTTTGGTACGTCAAAATGTATTGAATGAAGAGGGTCGTTTAGGATTTTGAAGGAAAAATTTGTAAGAGTATCTAGGTGTTTGTTGACAATAAAATTCACAAGTGTCTCTCTAGACAATCCGCTGCAGCTGGAAATAAGCTTTACTATCGTTTATGTTCAGCTGATTTGCTTTGAGTTTAGAACACTTAGAATACAACCCGCAGAAGCAATCGGAACACTGGCTTCCTGTTTGTGGATTTTTCTGATACGTAGGATAGCAGCGTACTACAGTCCTCTAGTAGCGTTAACTTTGACTTGAGCTTGGCCGTTGCGACTTATTGCGTCTCGTGCCTTCGATCGATATTTCCCGGGTCAATGCTTTGCGCTAGTGGCTGCCTGTCTGTCTACTGCGCGCCAATTTGGCGGTTTTTAAGGTCGGCAGGGCCGTAGCACTTTGTAGTGCGTTACAGTACTCGCGGGGACTGTTAAGGCAGCTGGATCCTTCGCTCTGAGGTTTAAAAAAGCGCATAAGCGATAAGTGGCACAACATGTCCAATAGCTAGTTCATTTAGCGGTCGTCAACGCTTGTTGTTGGCGTGTCGTATATATCTTAGAGTTGCCTTTCTTTTGAGAACACGGATGTTACTGTGTGGCTCGACATTCGGAAACTTGCGCGCGTGTGTTTCTCCGGGAGGGGTGCGAAAAGTGCGAATGGTGATCTGCACAAGCTGGACACGAGATATAGAATGCAGTAAATAGAGCGGTTTAAGCCGGATCGAATGTGTGTAAAGTAGAATTTTGAAAGTAAAACCGATGCGGTTAAGAGGCCATGGAGAATGCGACCGCGAGGCGGTGTGTAGACCAGTAAATAGGCCAACCAAAGTTCCGGAGAAAAGGCTGTGCATACAGGCTAGAACAATATTACCTTTTTGAATAATGCAGCTTTTAGAAAAATTACGCTTAGTTTGTTCATCAGCCACTCTGCAAATATCCACCAATACGTATCTGTCGGTTACTGACATCCTTTCCTTTTGAAATTGTCATCTATCTCAAGATGCTTTTAATTCACAAACTGCACTCTTTCATTGCATAGATCGGTGTATCCGATTCCAAATTGGCTGAGGTCTGTAAAGTGTTGTACAAAGTGGCAAAAAACCCATCGAACGACGACATATTCGTGCAAGACCCGGAAAAATTTGGTAAGTGCTTTTGACTAGTATTGTAAGACTTCACTTAAGCTTCACAGTGTGACTGATGTATGAAGTTGCTCATGTCAAATATTAAGGTCGCAGCGGAATAACGCCTTGATTGAGAGCCCCATGTGATATATATAGTGTTGGGATGTGACACAGGAATCGCCTAACAACAAAAAGGGAACAACAGTCGTGAGTGAAGAGTCTCATTTCAATTTTACCTCTGAATACTACTCCGGGCCATATACAAAATCGTTTCAAACCAGCTGCGCTCAGTGTCCTTGTGCCCTCAAACGGGGGTTTGGAAAGACATATTAAGTCACCATCTTGATACCCGAACCCAAGTAGTGCATTGACCACACATCCTTCATTTTCGCTAGACGCCAGCGTACGTAATAAATCGCGGCGAAGTAATTTTTGAACAGGCATACGGAGAACTGTTTGAACCACCGGAGCATACACAAAGAAATTATGAAGCTAAATTGTCATCTGAGTCTAACATCGTCATTACTGATGTGATGCCGCTTACGTACACCAGCAATTTTCTGGAGAAGCGTTGAAATGAAACGGTCTGTGTGCATTACTTACTCGAATGGGCACAGTCTCGCAGCCACATAGTAATTTTGCTCGTACCGCAGCATTGTAAACTGGACCTTTTCTAAAATTCCGAGATCACTCCCACACCAATGTCAGAGGTTGGCAAAAACTGTTTGGCTTTGAAAATGCGCAAATGTACCTCATTCTTTAAGCCACCCACGCTAATGCAAGTCCCAAGATAAGCAAACTCGTAGACTAATTCCAAAGAAGAGCCTGGCAGGGTGGGGTAGGAGTAGGTTATGGCCAGTGCTGGAAGCAAACCCAGCACCTAGAAGGGACAAAGTTCATCCCGAGTTGATACAAACATCTTCGACTTACGCAGCATATCCTAGACATCATGCGAAGGGTCACATATTATAGCGATGTCGTTAGTATATTTCGTCATGGAGTCGATCATCAGGAAGTAACTCGATGTCACTAGGCTAACAGTTTTCTAGATCAACTTTTAAGTTGTCATCCATAACGCAGCTGATAAGCAGAGTGAAATGGGGCTCACCTTCTCACACCACTGGTCCTAATAAAGGAGGATGGGGAGGCGAAACTCAACTGTACACATGAAATCGGCCCGAGGTTCGAGAATAAAGAGCTCGTAGAATGTTAACACTATTTCTCAATAGATGGTTCCAGAGACGTTGTGACGCTGCCCTTTGCCTCTGCCTCTCTGCGCTACCAACCAGCCGGGGAAAACAAAACGCCGAGCCTGCTAGACCGAAGTATATTAGGCACAGAACATGGCTACTTTTATAGGTCACATGCGCTTACCTCGCTGAGGTGACTCACATCTGTTGTCTGATTTCGTCAGCTTCCGGTTTGACCATGACAACGAGTCTGTCAGCCGCTCACGTGATCTGGCCAATCTCGCCCCGCTAGTGTGCACCATTGTAGTCAGCTGTTTCGCCTCCGTGACACCTCTCCGAATTGAAGCTGCTTCCCCACCATGCATACTTGCTTCAATTCAGCTTTCTTTGTTTTGACATCAATCAGTTGCCTTGGTGGTTTTCTTCTCCTTCTGGCCGCTCTTCGATATATGTTGTCTGCGGGCCCTTGTGTTTTTCCGTGGTTCGGTCTCCGCTGATCTGCGTGCCTGATCCATTTCTTGTTTCTAACCGTTAGTTCGTAATTGACTCCACCATTTCTGCGGATCACCCTTTCTCTTGACCACCACTTCGGTCATCGGAACTCTCGCGTGTACCCCCTGTCACCAATTCTGAAATGAGGCCCCCTGCCTGTCCGACTTTTCCCCGTATGACAACTGCAATGCTTTTCTTTCCTGATTAGCACAACGCGTTTTGCTCTGGATACTGGTTTAATGGCTTGCTTGAGGTTCAGGGCAGCACTGGTGATTCTGCAGCATTCTGGACCAGGTTGTAGCATTGCTTCGTGGCGTCTATTCACCTGCGTAATCTGACTGCCATTGATTTCTATCGTCGCATCCTTAAGTCTGATGGGCACATCTGATTTTGAAGTGGCAGTGTGGCAGAAGTGTTGCTCCTCCATAGCTTCCGAATTTGCGACCACATTAGTGGCAGGATTCAATCTGAGCAACCTCTGACATTCTGAAACAATTTCTTGCGATGTCAGCTTTAGTTCCAGTTCCCATTCTACTTGAATGTTTAATTTTTGTGATAGCACTTCCATCAACTGCCTCTGTGACTTTTCGAACTGCGTCTGCTGTTCCTGCAAAAGTGCCTGTAATTGTTCAAAGCTGACTGTCATTCTGGGTTCAATTGAACTCGCGTCGCCACTGTTGTGACGCTGCCCCTTGCCTCTGCCTCTCTGCGCTACCAAGCCGGGGAAAACAAAAAGTTGAGCCTGCTAGACCAAAGTGTTTTAGGCTCAGAACATGGCTACTTTTATAGATCACATGCGTTTACCTCGCTGAGGTGACTCATATCTGTTGTCTGATTTCGTCAGCTTCCGGTTTGACCATGACAACGAGTCTGTCAGCCGCTCACGTGATCTGGCCAATCTCGCCCCGCTAGTGTGCACCATCGTAGTCAGCTGTTTCGCCCCCGTGACAAGAGCGCAGCACGACCAATTGAATCAACTGCAGTATTCAAATGCACGAACCAAACGGGGATAGGCTCACTAAAAGCAAGTGCGTGATCTGGGATTTGCTGGCTCGTGAAGATGTGATCAATACAGTTCCGACTTCAGCGAAACCCAGCCTACTATTCACTTATGCACTGTTTGGGTATTCCACTGAGCCGCTGTAAAGGCGGGGAAGCGAGCCCTGAACGCTAGGCATAGAAAGCTGATCCGCCTGAAGTTGTTGGCATCTGCTCGGTCACCTTCTTAGAAGATGGGTAGGATGTTCGCTAAATTGCAATCTGATCGGATGACTTCTATGGACCAAATCTCCGGAAGGAGGTTAGTTAATAATGGAAGGAGAGACGAGACTCCATATTTGAAAACAGCCGGGAGGTTTGTGACTCGTTAGAATACAAAGCTCCTGAGCAACCTCGGTCACGAATAGCTTAGAGATGCTTACACACCACGGAAAACCGTAGGTACACCATTGGCCACTCGAAAGCAGTTGTGGCTAGGTGGCCTGCTGTTTGAACTGATCTGCCCACCGTACAAGCCGGCGATGATTATTGGGAATTGGTCCACCGCTGATTTTACATGGTTGGCGGCATCCGGTTTCAGATTTGCCTGTCATTGTGGCCAGCCACAGGACGCCTGCGCCTACAGAGGGACCATGGGTGGCTTGCGCTGCACCACCCACAGCTCCAACCACATACAACATATCCAGTGTAAACCCGAAGGAATAAGACCGGGAGGCATGTGGATGTGAGCCACGTTTCATCAACGGAGTCGGCCCACACTCCTTCACAGGCAAACACAAGCACGCTGTATTTGGGGAATCAAGCGCACACAAGGCGGTGGCTGGACCGTAGTCCGCTCCACACTGAGTGCATGGAACCGCTCTTTGAGCCTAGCATGGCCACAAGGACCGTGCACCCCGTCCCCTCCAGCAACGACCAACTGTCTCCTGGAGCCAGTATGAACGATGTAGTGGGTAATAGACAGGTAGGCACCTTGTCAACATACACATCAAGCGCAACCACACCGGGGATATCAACCAACAACCATTCACTTGAAACGACAAAATGAAATAAAATAAATCCAATAATGCATACAAATACGGTGGCATAACTCTTCGCTAAATTACCATATGGAGTAATTTGGTTAGCAACAAATCCGTGATAAGTAAGAAATGTCCACAAGTTACTTAAAATGCTACAAACGCAACAAAATTACCGAAGATAAGCGCAATTAGTGTAAGCAACGTGGCCAGTTAATAGAACATTATTCAGGGAGGCAGAACAAACCAAATAATGCGGAATGAAATTTATCCCGCTTAAAAAGACCTAGTTTAAGTGTAAGTTGGTTTAGCCCAACTGCGGTGAAGAAGCATCAAGAATGCAACATCAGCCTCAGCATGGTTTTACATACCACTTTGCTTACATGCGGCTTGTTGCTACTGGTGGATGGGATAAAGTGGAAGTCTGAAGAAGTTCCCTGAGGAGGGAGCTGGTTCTATCTCCATGGCATGCTGCGTCAATCAGGCGTCACGATCTTCACTGAGAAGCTGTTTGAACGAAGTGTTAGTAATGTATCGGAATACCTGTAGTTCGGGTGGTTCGTTCCGATTATGTTCTGTTCTCGGAGCTGAGCAGTTTCGTTGCAACGGACTCGTTCAGCTCAGATAACAGAACATAATCTGAACGAACCATTAGTAGCTCTATGCAATGAGTTGTACTCTACATCGGCAGTAATTGTTCTGCTGCCGTTTATAAGATGAACAAATCGATCGTAAATCCCTCGTGAAGCCCCAGAAAACGCTGGCAGACTTATGCGCCTCAACAACTAGGGGTGGAGGATCCATCAGGATAAAAGCTAACGAATTCTGAAAGGCACTATGAATGTTTGGCTGTGTCAGGCCGTTTCCAACGACGCCGTTGGGTCCCACCGAAGCGGAGGACAGCTTTGGCACTGCCAAGTATGTGTGCAGAAGTTAGTTAAGTACCACAAATTAAGTTGTAGACCGTTCTATTAATGGCAGCTGATTGTGATGTGGTCAGGAGCACCTAACGTTTGTGTTCGGGAAGAATAAGGCGTGGTCAGCACAGAGCTGTAGAAGGCGACCTGGTTTATCTCTCCTGTGCGTGCCATAACCATACGGAACACCGAGTTCCGTTTATCAGCCTTGAGTTCAGTAACCGGTGCGTTTAACCCCCCCCCCCCCCAAGGGCGAAAACCACGGTAACCTTGCTGCTCTTCTTATAGAGAAGTTTAGAGAGTTCACGATAGTACTCCTCATTAGCTGAGTCCGGGCTGCAGTTTGTGAGAACGGACGTTCCTACAACCAACAAACGTCATTTGGTATGCTAGCGATTGGACGA